CAAATCACTCAAAACAATAAATCGGAAATAGATGTAAAAAAATTAATCTATATTTCTCCAATTTCAGCAGCATGTTAAGCAACACACACCTTTAGAGATATAATAGCAACAAATCAAACACAAAGAACATAATCCTATTACAATATCCAAACACAAAACAAATTCCAAATCCAAAATTATAGAGGTAGCCGTGGTCAGAATCCGTTTACCTTACGACTTAAGTACTTGAACTGATAATCTTTACTATTTCTTCTTCACAGCAAAGAAATCGTTGTTTGGTTAACTTGACAAGGTTTATTATTCTTTGGAAGTGTTAATGATTTTTGTTTTACTACAAATTACTCAATGTTGCACAAATTTTAAAGTTACTTTTGTATTTAAAAGGATAATAAACTTACCAAATCTCATTAAGTAATCTTTTGACTTTTCTTTAAGAAATAATTTAAATTTTCCAATATTAGAATTAAATTAGAATTAATTTTGAATTGATTTTCCGGTTTGAAACAACGCATACACTTTAATTAATTAGAACATTTTTGTTCTTTAAAACTTGTAATAAAAATGTGACTATTCTGCTATTAGTGTAGCTGTCTACTACCTACCATGTATACAACAATATAAAAATATTGACATTTTGCAGTGTTGTCAATTTTTTGAACACTTTGAAATATTTCTTGTTCTTTCTTTTTTTTCTTTTGAATACATACCTTCATATATTATGATTAATTTTAAATTAAAAGCATTCCTGTATATTTTATTGATCTTTTAGTGGAATATTTTACATTTTTCAACACAAAACACATTTTATTTGATGAATTCAAACCAGAATTAAAAAATTAAAACTCTTAATAATCAAAATAATAAAAAAATTGAACAGCTTGGTACAGTAGTTGCCTTGCAATTTAGTATTTTTAGTGGTTTCTGTCTGAATCTTTCTTTCTTCCTTTATTTTTATTTTTTTTCGTTAATATTGTTAAAGTCGATTTGTTTAAGTGGTTTAATCGATTTTCTTTTATTTTGTTTTTAATGTTTTAAGTGGTTCTTTGAATTTTTCTATCAAAATACCGTTTATAAAGAGAAACCGCAATAGAATTGACATGGCTAACAAAAATAACAGAAAAATCAACTGTTCAGCATTTTTGTCATATTTTTGAGTTTTGGTTTTCTTTTTGTTTTTTAAATTTGCATGGGAAAAAAATTTCTTAATTTATTGAAAAATTACTTGATTAAAAGCTTTTCACATGTTTTCTATAGTTGGAAAAATTTGTTAATTAAATTTATTAGCGTTCTGAATGCATTTCTAAAAATTATAAAGGGTTTCAGACTATTGATTTACACTAAAAATTTTTTATTGTTATCAATATATAATTTGCTGGCAACAAAGTATATTCAAATACAAATCGTCAGATGGCCATTTATACCTTAATAATTTTAAGTTGGCATTATTTTATTAAAGTAGAGCATATTTGAGCAATTGTGAGTCTATAATAAGAAAGTACAACTGCTTTTCCGAAACTCTGTTTTAATGAATTTAGAACAGTGTTGACAAGTATACTATCAATATTTTTCAATTTACATAAAAATTATATATAATGTGCCAATACATATTTTTAATCTCTATGCCTATGCATGTCGTAAGTCAAAACAAGTTATATCAATTGTCATTGATTGATTGGACGTGCTCTTGCGTAAAATATTTCTAAATAGTAAAAGAGCTACTTAAATTCATTTTAAAAGTATAAAGAGTAATGAAATATATAATTTTTTATCATAATTTGAATTTAATTTACTTTTCGCTACGCTGTAATAAAAATGATAACGAAATTGAAATGTCAAATAAGTAATAACGTCAAGTAAGTAAATAATGTCAAATAAGTAATTATTAGTATTAACAGTATTTGTACCACAGAGGCGCATATATACATATAGTATGTATATTATGTCAGCATAATATGAAAATTAAGAATTGTGGTGACAGGAATCACTATGGCATTTACTGCGAATTTAGTGAATCTCATTAAATTTGTTACATTCGAAATACAGCAGCCACTCGTCTTTTTTTTTGTAAATATTTTTATATTTCAATTTATGCTTGTCAACATACTAAAAACTTACAATTTACGTCATACTATTTATTGTACGCGAAGTTTATTTCTTAGTACAACATTTAGTTTTGGTTTTGATTAGTCGCAATTTTGACATCATGCATAATTTTATATTTACAACATACTTATAATCAAAAGGGCTTAAGAATATTGTCCCTAATTGAATGCGGCAACAACAACGGATTCAAATGCCCTATTCCCAGCATGCGAGGTGGGAACTACCACTCTCTTTATAAAAAAAATTAGTTTTCGGCATTCGCCCGTACGAATTTTTAACGGGAAAAGCAGTAAGTTAATAAAAAACTAAAATAATTTATAAAAAAAACTTCTCCATGAAACTTAATGTAATTTAATTTTATCAAGGCATTGTTTATACAAAATTAATTTTAAAAGATATCAATATTATTGATTTTCTAAATTAAACAATATTTATAAAAATTTATTATCAATAAATGATAAGAATCAAACTTAATTTAGTTCTATAGTGTGTTACACATTTTTAACAATCTGCCATTGTATATAATAATATAATTAATTGAATTCTTTCGAAATCTACATTATATCAAAAAAATTTAAAAATAGAATTATTAAAAAACCTGATAGCTATGCGATTGACAAAATTAATAAGTTTTGAAGGGGATCATTTCGACATTTAAAAAATCAAATCAATGTATAACATTTAGAATCAAACAAAAAATTTTTTTTAATATTACTTACATAATAAAAATATATTGTATATAATATTTAAAATTTTATATTGCTTTTGCCCAAATTGAACTTTTGTGATGACGTCAAAGAATATTTTTTTTTTTGGTTATACATACATACTTATAATATACATTCATTATTTTTGCAATACTATATATTTACTACCCAATACCATTTACCGTACAGCAAAAAAAAATTTTATTTACTATACAAATTCTGTCAACTACATTAAACTACAAAGCAACAAATTTCTTTATTTTTTGTATGATAACAAAAATATGAATAACAAACAATAATAACCTTAGACGAATACTATCAATATTACAATATAATACAAATCATTTACAACATAAACACAACAATTTGTATGTATAAAACATCCCTCATACAAAACTGTTAAAATCATAACATTTTCTGTATGAAATGTTGTATATCCAACATAACTAAGTTAAAAGTATGATACTAATGCTTATTTTAATAGAAAACTGTTAACATAATTTTTTGTTTAGATTGGTAAAATGTATGTATACATTATGCATATAAAGTTAGTAAATAATATAATGTTGGAATGAATTATCATCCAATTGGAAATTTTATTTATAATATTTTAAAAACAAGATTTCTATTTGTTTCTTTTTTTTAACAAAATTTATACAAATGCAATTGCAGACATACTTACCATAATATTTTGTACAACATTTTATGTTGTTATTATTTATAATTTTAAACAACAAGAAAAACTTGTTGGAATTAAAAATGCTACTTGTATAGCAAACAATTTACTATTTATTTCGTTTTAATTACTCGTAATAGATATTTTCTTATATATGTACATATTCATATGTATGTATATAAATATAACAGCTGTATTTACTTATCTTGAAATACTCCAACTGTTTACTATCATGTTACTAATAGTAGCTACTTGAATACAATAAATTCTCTTCATACAAAATATAATGTAACAATGTAACAACCTTTTTTTATAAGTTAATATTTTTCGTATGATTGCCTCTGATGGCACTAAGTACCAATAATAAGCTCTATATCATCCCCATAAGAAATGAACAAGAAAAATAATCAAAATATCGTAGTACAGATGATTATCGCATTTTCCTTTTACTGTACACTTATTTACTAATAGGAAATTACAGCATAAAACATAACATGTATATACATTGTATAACATTTTACATTGAATGTATAATTTAACAAAAAAGAAGAAAATAATAATAATAAAAAAATTCAATCAAGACATTTTGTTCTTTTCGTAAATAAAAAAATGTTCGAATCAGTATTTGTTTGAACTTCGGATAGTTTAGATGTACATGAAAAAGTAAGAGAAAAAATAATTTAAAAAAAAAAAAAATTTATTGATATCCTCTTAATGGTGTTTTGAAATTTTTACCGTTATACAAGTAATAATTTTGTCTTTAAGAATTAAAAAGTGAAATTACTTTGCATCGTAATTAATAATTTTTCGATCATTATTTTATTAACATTTGTTATACATAATTTGATTAACAAAAAAAATTTTAATTATACAAAATTTGATTTTATTAGAAAATTAGAACAAATTATTTTTTTATTTCGAAATTACAGTTAAATAATAATTTTTTTCATCATTCATACATACCTACATAATGTTGTTGTTTTAAAACTCATACACATTATGTATAATTATTGAAAATTGTTGCTAAAAATTATAAGTAAATATTAAAGAGTGAAAAGAAAAAAAAATTATACTACAAATTTTTGTGTTCGAATCAACCATTCGAATAACGTAATTTAAATATAGAAGAAGTTGTAAAAGCTTTTTGATTTAGAGAAAGGAACAAAAAAAAGTTCTTTCTCATATTTTATTAGAATTTTAATTTTGGTATGAGCAAGTGCTGCTGTTTATGATGTTGTATTGTATTTTAAGCTCTTCATTTATACATACATAATAGTAATATATATATTACGTATACATATATATGTATGTACATAAAAATTTGATTTTATATTGTGAATTGTGATTATAATTGAACTTTACCTCCAAATTAATTTTGTTCGAAATTTTCGAATATACTTAAGATGTTCTTGTATTATTGAAGTAAAGAACAATTATTGAAAAGATTGAATGGTGGTGTGCAAATTATAATATCATCAAAAGAATACAAAAAATAATAATAATAACACATAAATAAAAAAATAATAAGTATAATATATAAATTAATTGATGACCTAACAAGTAGGTAACGCAACATTACCAATTGTATCAAACATACACTCATACACTAATATTGTTTGTGTATTGAAAATATCATTAGAATAATTTTTTTTTTTTTGTAATTTTCGGTGATCGCATATTTATCAAAAAAAAAAGTCATTTTGGAGAGAGAAAAATTTATAAAAATTATTTTATTGTTTTGTTATTGAATTTTATAAATTTGATTTTATTTTTAAAATAAAAATAATCACTTGTGTGTAGTATAGAAGCATTTGATTTTTTAAATAAAAATTTGTGACATAAAGAAATTTTTAATAATAATTTTGAACAATTTTTTAATTAATAATTATTCTGTTGTGCACCATCTTTCATATTAATTTACTGAAAATTCTTTTAATATTTAAAATAAATATTGTAATTTTATAATTTATGATTAGTGATCAGTTTTGGTGATTAACTTTTTGAGTAAACAGTGAAAATAATATTAAAATACTTCTAAACTACAAACTTGTGTAAATTCATTATTCTTTATTAAATTGTATAGTAGAGTAACAGAGAAAGAATAATAATAATATTAATAATAAGTACTAAAAAAAAAAAATTGGAACTTTAAATATTTTGGTCGAAAATACGACGGCATTTCTTTCAAAATTTTAAAAATTTTTATTGGGGTAAGTAATAAAAATTATTACACATTATAAACTAATTAGTATAAGTACATAGAAATGATAGCAATTAGATTTACCTAGATTGAAATTTTTTAGATTTGCATACATACATACACACATACATTCAAAAATAATTTAAAACTAATAAATTTTTCTATTCGTACTTAATGAAAAAATTTGACTTTTAATTTAAAATTTGATAAAGAAAGTGCGTTCTAAATAATATAATACTTATTATGTAAGTTGTGATGACATACGAAATATATTACTAACTTGTTAGTCTAAAATTATGTAAAGACAACAAATGTAAGAATATTATAGTTATGGCGCTATTCTTGCTGTTCTTATTTTGCTCAACATTTTATGGTCGAATTTTGTGTTTTCTTTTCTTCACCTTGATTTTAAAATTAATCTCAATTCTTTTTAAATTCGTGTATTGTATTCGTATATTTAGAATTTTTAAATAAATAATATTGGTAAACTAAAAATTAAGGAAAATTTTGAGTGACACTGAAAAAAAAATTTAACCTTAATATGATTAAATATTTTGTTCTATAGAAATGAACCTTTATTTAATTTTTGAAATTGTCATAATATAAGTAAATTTCGACTGATTAAAATCGTAGGATTTCAATAAATTCGTAATATTGAGGAGGTTAGAATTAACAGTGAAAAAAAAATTTATTTTGAAGCTGCATATAGTTTGTAGCAAGTACCTACTTACCAAATTTTTTTCGATTACTTACTTATCTAATCACTACTAATACATTTTTTGAATCAACATTAAATATTTATTATTATAAAATAGATAATTAGAAACTTAAAAAAACATTCATACTTACTTATAAGTAAACTAATTACTTCCATGATATTATAGCAACTGAGTTCCTTTTTTGTGACTAAATTAATTATACGCCAATTAATCGAGAAATTGCTCTTAGAGTTAAGTATATCGAATCTATACTTAAATATAATATGGAATAATATAAGTAATATTAATATAATAATAAAGATATTCGTAGACACAGTTGCAAGTACGCTTACACAATGTAGCCAGAACTTACTTTTTTCAAATTTCTTCTCATTAAACAATTTCGTTTATTCTATAAGTATGATTCAGTACTCTTCTATGCTAAATTCTGTATTGCGTAAATTTAATGGTCGCAATTTTTACATATTTCATAAGTATTACACATTCATTTTGGATTAAACACACATATTCAATAGATTTTGTTTAGATAATTATATTAAAAATTTCGACAGCGTTAATTGATCCATTAATTTAGTCATTTAAATTGAAACTAAAATAAATTTACAAAAAATAAGTGAACCATTAGGATTTGTTACTTAATTGTATTAAAAGAAAACAGTTAAATCCTTATTGCAAGTACTTACTTGGGCTTGTTTCAATAAAAATTAGAAAAGGAATAATTTTTGTGACAAAAAACCTTAGGCTATATGCTAATATATATGTACATATGTATATGCAATGAGAGTACTTGTGTTCTTATAAGTATTTTGATTGTTGTAACCATTTTAGTTCTAATAGTGGGGAAAATAATATTATAAAAAAGAATATTAAATTTGAATTTTTCCAACAAGACTACAAACATTTCAACAGATTTCAATAATGTTAGTAAATAAAAATATTTTTATAAAAGAAAACATTAAAACAAATAAGAATTTTGCTTTATTTTCTTTTAATTTTTGCTTTAATATTTTCAAAACAAAATATCAAACATACTCGTACATACATACATACACATATATGAATATAGGTATATAAAATGAAATCCAATTTGATTGTGAAAAAATCTATAACAAAACAAAGTCCCCCGTAAAAATGGACAGAATGGGAAAAAAAATATTTTTTTTTTTTTTGCAAGTTGATTATTATAAACAAAAAATCTTCTTAAATAAACACAACATACTTCCACATAAAGTTCGAAGTATATAAGTATAACAAGTATGTTATATTACTTGTATATAGGTTTACATTATTAGTTCAAGTTACATGCACAAAATTTATATAAAATAAACAGTGTTAACAAAAAACTCTAACAACGTATAACGTCCTCTATTAAGCATATCTTAAAAAAATTTTACAATATTACGCGTTCCGTATTGAAAAGAATGCAAAGGAAAGCAAGTCGTACATCCATAAAAATTCTGAATACTTTATGTAAAATTTGACTATAAGTAAGCATTACCAGTATGCTTTAGTTAATTTTATATTCGATTTAGAGCTAGTTTTTGATTTTTTGCGTTATAAATTTCATTGTGGAAAATTTACGTTACCCTGTTAATTTTAAAGGGAGACGACTGTAAAGAATGTTATAAACTAAACATTGCAGTGTTCTTGTATTTAGTTTTAGATATAATTTAAAGGTGGTTGCAAAATTTTGCTTTTTTTGCAATACGGAATACTATCGTCTAGATGTTCATATTTAATTGCACAAGGTAATTCAGTAATAAATACACTGCGTAGTGTATGGGAAGTAAAAAGATAGCAAAATTTGTGTTAAGAACTTTGTGTTTAGAACACAACTTAAAAATTTTAAGAAAATAAATTTTCTTATGAAATTTAAGCTGAAAACTTTACGTATAAAAGCAGAATAAACGAGCAAATCGAAAATTATTCCAAAATCTCGAAAATTGTTCAGAATTTGGGACATGTTCTCTGAATCATCCTGTGTTGTTAATATTATATGATATTGTTTAACGGTCGAGTGCCTTAAATAAATTTCAAATTGTTTTTACGAAAAAAAAAAATATTGTTTATATAAGAGTTAATATTTAATTAGTTTCTTGAACTTGTTAAATTTTAATTATGATACTTAAAATGTTCATACTTACTTATTGTTTATAATCTGTTGACCATATTGCTTGGTGATAAAAAGTAGGTTTTTAATAACTAGAAAAAATCTGCATATTTTTCACTAGAACTCTTTCTATATTTAATTGCATGGAATGGAAATTTCTAAAAAACAATATAAGAAATATCTAGCTATAGGTATACATACAATTTTTAATGTATTTGGTCAAGAATTTAAAATATTGACCTCCTATTATTCTGATTTTTTATTAGATCTTTTTTTTATGTTCTAATGCCAGTAACCTTTTCCTTTTAAAAACTAAGATTCTTGAAAATGAGCATAAAGATTTAATAATAGGTTTAATATGTAGATTAATTTTCATAATTTTGCGGCAAAGATTAAATAAACAAAAAAAAAGCAAAATAACATTGTAAAAATTATAAAAATTTAATATGCCGAAAATTATGGTTTTAATGATCGCGAAAGCTTACATTCAATTTTTCAGTTCTCAAAATCCAATCATTTTAACAAAATCTGCTATAGAATTATTTTTATACCATTTCGTACATCTTTAATATTTTAAGAATTTTATGCGGTCTTTGGCAGCTTAAGAAAGTGTTTTTTTCAATGAATAGTGTGTGCGTTTAAGCAATCTAACATATTCTTACACATATACTTACTGAAATTATTATTATTGCAAGTCTTCACTAAATGGACTCGCATAAAATTTCTTATTCTTACTAACAAGAGTATTTTCTTAGAACAATATGAGTGCCTAAGTAAGTGATGAGTTAATTAGTTAAAAAATAGCATAAAATGAGTGTCTTAATTACTTAATTCAATAATTTGAATACGGTTTGTACGGTTTAACTTTCATCTGAACCAACCATTGTAATTATGTACTCAATATTCATATCTTAATTTAAATTATTTATTTTTTAAGAAAAACGCCTACAACTATAATTTTAATAAAATTATACTGAAAATACTTAGTTTTCTTTTACTGCTAATGCTTCTACATAAAACACATGTGTTATTCTTTAGCTCAATATTGCTCGTATTGCGGTATTTTAATAACACCTAATTGTAATTTCGAGCCACTTAACTTCAAAGTTTCTATTTAGTTTTTAATAGCAATTAAGTACTTATCAGATTTTTACCCTATAATTTTACAAAATGTAGATCAAATTATAAAGAAATTGAGCTTTTAAACAGAATTGATAAAAATCGTAATTTCACTTACACTATTTTTTCTTCTAACCACAGAATTATTGATGGTATCATAAATATTGTTGACTATGCTTAAACTGATTTTGTAAATTTTATTGTTTCTCAATTGATGTATAAAAGCAATGACAAAAGCACCGAAATTATAATTTTTTTTGCATTTTGGTTACTAAAATTTAAGCTCTGTTAAAAAACTGTAAGTGGGTACTTTTATATGTAGAACATTATACGTGACTAGAAATTTATTTAATTTGTTAGAATCCCTTTTAAGTATAACACATTTTTCCGGTTGTTTAATTCATAACTACATTATATCTGATTATATAACTGTATAAAGAAACCGCTATCGAAAGGTTATTTTATTATTAGGTATAACAGATTTATAAATTATAATTAATTAGAATTTGACTTCTTCGGTAGCAACCGGCAATAAAGCATAATAGTTTTTAAAAAAAAAAGACTTTAATTGAAACACAAAAAAGCTAAAAGTTGTTGAAAAAGAAATGAAAAGAATTTAAAAAATCATTTCTATTCCATGTTGTACTAGAACACCGGAAGTACACCTTAAATAAATTTTAAGTAAAACACCTTAGTACCCAAGTATGAACATAAATAATATGTCTTTAAATATATAAAGGTATGTTAGCCTTCGCATTCATATTTAAAAGCAGTAAGAAATTTAAATAAGCTAAAAAATCACCAAAGAAAACCAATATTTAAATGCGATTCTAATAAACAATAATAATAGGTTTAAAGCTTGACAAATAAAAGCGCTCTACTATTTGTTCTTGCCCCCTTCTATTCAATATTTATGTTATAATTAGCAAATACAATGAACAAGGTAGTTAAAATTTTTTTTTTCAATTGTTGTTTTCTTCTTCCTTTTTCACCTACCACTATTTGTATAATTTGCAACACAAACTGTTGTGTGTATAGCAAAATGTGAAATGAGAAAAAACG